CAACGATCAAGTGCTGCGCGACTTCGACGCCACTGTCGGCAGCTCGACACGCCCTGCGCTGATTACACATCTCACTGGATCCTCTATGGGCTCCCCCGTGAATTCCTTTGCTTCTGGTGCGCGCAAAGTAGGCAACATGATCTTTGATCCATCACGGATGTGCTGGGTGTCAACGTTGCCTCCGGAGGAAGAAGAACCTGATGTCTTCGCCAATTTGGCAGACGACGAAGACTCAGATGACTGGGATGCTAAAGCTGATACTATTCGTGCCAGCCTTCAGGTCACCAAAGATCTGGATGCCACACCGACCGCTACACAGCTCCAATCGTCTTCCTCGCTCGTCAGTCGCTCGCGGAGTAGATCAGAGTCGGAAAGCGACCGAGGCTCACGGGCTTCTATGGTCTGCGACGTTGAGGACGGCTTCTTCGACCTATGCCAGGCTGCCGAGCAGCGACACCGACAAGATATGCGTGGATGGATCTCGCAGTCTGGACCCCAGCCGGATCGATCATTCCTGTACGAGATTCGAGCGTTGGCTACGCGGCAATACTGAATGGTCTATCCTCCGTTGGTGCATATCTTTATCTGTCACATTATCTCTATCTTCTACCTCTGGGTCGATTCTATTTGACTTTATGGTTTCTTTCTTTAACGACCGTCACGATTCCACTCCTTGCATATGTCTCCCCTCGTAGTTTTGCCCTTGTTATGCTGACCTTATACTCAGTACTGCTCACTCGTTTACCTGTCCTCTTCGTTCGTCTCTTGCCACCTTGATCTCCTTGTCGATTTGTCTCATGTCAATCTGTTTCACTACGCATAAAACCTCAATCGTATACAAGTATAATATAACTCGGAATTTTTGGAAGAGTAGCTGAACGTCGTCCCAGCAAGTTGTCGTGAAACACCGCTCACAGAGAGAATGACCTGGATTGGGATGGCATGACTGACATACCTTATCGAAAAGTTCATATCTTTCCAATCTCTTTCCGCACATCCGGGCGCATTGCTCACATCTACTTTATGATCAGGCTTAATTTCTGCCTTCGCGGACGACTCGACTATGGCGACCAATAGCCGTGTAGCAGTGATTGAGCCTGGGACAGGCAGCATCGCTGTTCGTCTTGAAGGCGCCGAAGCAATCCTATCTGAACTCTCGTCTTCCTACCCCTTAAAGTTGCTGTCTCCTCGGCTGCCGCCACATAACGTCGCCGTCGTATATGCCTTGACATATGGTGGTGGATTAGTTGCTGGCGACAGGGTTGGGTTGCGAGTTGACGTGCAGGAAGGAGCTGCCCTTGTTCTCTTGACCCAGGTGTGTTCTGCACAGGATTCCCTTGACTGATCACAATCTCACATGGACCACTTATTAGGGGTCCACGAAGGTCTTTAAGACTAGGCCAGGTCAGCGGCATGCTCGACCACAGGTCGACGTTGTCGATGAATATACGTCTCAGCGCATGGACGTCAGCATTCATGTGGGAAGCTCGCTCTTCCTCCTCCCCGATCCTGTCGCATGCTTCCGCTCGGCTCGCTACAATCAGGTTCAGATTTTCAAGGTTGCATCGGAGGCTTCGGTAGTCCTCCTGGATTGGATCACCGCCGGACGAAAAGCGTTAGGGGAGGATTGGTCGTTCTCGCGCTACTATAGTCTGAACGAGCTATGGGTGGACGGAAAGCGTGTCGCTCGCGACGCGATGCTCCTGGAGGAGTCACTACCTACATTATCGCACGGTCAGATGCACCTACCGGCACGTACGCTTGCTGAACGACTCGCTCCGTACTCGTGTTACGCCACCGTCTTACTTTACGGACCTCTCACCGCCAGTACTATCAAATCCCTCCTGGACGATTTCTCGACTATCACTGTCTTCAAGCATGCCGCGCGTCCTCCTCTGATATGGTCCGTCAGCACTTTATGCGGTGGTCGTGGTTGTGTTTTGCGGGTGGCTGCACGGGAGACTGAGGAAGCGCGCACCTGGCTCGGTATCGCCTTGCTACAACTCAGGGGGGTTATCGGGACCGACATCTACAGCAAGGCTTTCGGCTGACCTGCCAGTTATGCTGGTCCACGAATCTTTTCTTTCGAAAGATTGATACACGGGCAGCATGCGTTGACCCGTCTATGCCTCTATTGCACCCCGAATATACTCAGTTTGAGGTCTGGAGCTCCAAGTGCTGGGGCCTTGTAGCGTTTGTATCTAGGTGCGCGCTCTTAGCGGATGTGCTCCCTGTTCTCAGGACTGACGGAACTCTATACAGATAAGATTTTGTCAGGCGCTTGGATAATGGATAACAGGCTCTGCCCCACATTTGACTAGATGATAAGATGATGGAATACACGCCGGTTTGTATATATAAGTCCACGAGTTCGGTGACTGAGTCCCTCACTTTCTGTACCTCGACTCAGTAGTCAAATGTCCACAGAAGGTTCTAGCAAAGACCGTGAGTCGATAGCAGAGGAGACTGTCAGTGTACCGCCACTATATCGCCCGGAGGTCGATGTCTCGACTGTTGACGAGAAGAAACTCATGCGAAGAATCGACTGGCATGTCGTGCCGTGGCTAGCGGTTCTTTATCTGCTAAACTTTTTGGACAGAGGAAACATTGGGAACGCAAGGGCACGTACGCCGAGTGCCGCTTCGCGTTCCGTCCAACACTGACAAGCCCATAATAGCTGTACAATATGCAGACTGATTTGCACATAACTGATAAGCAATACCTTATCGCCCTAACCGTCTTCTTCTTCCTATATGCATTGTTTGAGGTTCGTCCGTGTTCTGAAATCTCTGTACGCCTGAGATAGTATTGATGTCCTCCTTAGCCTCCCAGCAACATTGCACTTAGGAAGCTCCGACCGTCACGATGGTTGTCGTTTATTATGCTCATATGGGGTATCGCCATGGTTTGTATACACTCTACTGTACTACTGTATTTAACGCGGAGCTGATCAGTACACCAGACTTTCCATGGTCTCATAAAGAACTATGCCGGTCTTGTAGGTTCGTAGACCCGCAGTGCACACTTTCTACATGACTTTTCACGACATTCCAGGACTAAGAGTTGTCTTGGGCTTAGCGGAAGCTGGCCTATATCCGGGCGTCGTTTTCTATATGTCTTGGTGAGACTTCTGTGTATACTCCATCGTAGATACTTAATGGCGTTCAACCTCCCAGTTGGTATAGACGTTCCGAGCTTGGAGCACGCGTGGCCGTCTTCTTCTCTTCTGCAACGGTGGCTGGTGCTTTTAGTGAGTACAGCTGGTAGCTCACATGCCGCAACGGCATCTGAATTTATTACTGTTTAATAGGCGGTTTATTGGCAGCCGCAATCCACAACATGGATGGTATCGGCGGCAAGCCTGGCTGGGCCTGGATATTCATACTTGAAGGGCTTTTTACCGTCCTATGCGCAGTTGCCTCGTTCTTTATCCTTGAAGACTTCCCCGAATCCGCCAAGTTTCTCAGCGATGTAGAACGTATGTCCCTCCCTCACTATCTCTCGAGAAAGCGACGTTCAATTATCATTAGGCGTGTGGGTCATTCGTCGCCTTCAGACGGATATGAAATTTAGTGCCGCCGGGGAGACTTTCAAGATGAAGTATGTGTGGCAGAGTTTGAAGGACTGGAAGACTTGGATCGCAAGTGAGTCAAAATGGCCCTCGTTGATTGTTTGCTTTAGGCGTGACTGACATTATCTATAACAGTGGGGATATACATGGGGTTGTAAGCGTGCGATACAGCCGTGCTTGTAGATGTGACCACTAACGTTGAGATAGTGATGGTCCGCTTTTCGCTTTCTCTCTATTTACGCCTACGATCATCAATCAGGTGAGTATTGCTGCATGTTGCCAATACAATGTAGCTGAATTATAACTAGCTCGGTAAGTAGGTTGGCGAATATCACAAAGCCAGTACCGCTCACCCTGCTTGCAGGATTCCAAGCTACAGCCGCGAATTTGCTTTCCGTGCCCGTATACGCTTGGGCTTGCCTTATTACCGTGTGTATCGGGTTTCTAGGGGACAGAATAGGTCACCGGGGCATTATCAACCTGTGAGTACTGTAGATATCATAGTTGTTGCGCCATCTGATGAGCATCCAGGGTCCTCTTTAGCACTGGTATGAATGAGCACGCTGAATTCTTACACCTGATACTATTATGCCACCATACAGGTCTAGCGGGCTATGTCATTCTCATAGCATCAAGCAATCCAGCACTGTCGTATTTTGCGACGTATTTAGCCGCTTCGTATGTCCTTCTTCTGCTCCTGCAAGTCTTGTGTCCTGATGTGTCATCCAGTGCCATTTATCCAACAATTCGTGAGTGCGCCCCATTGAGTCTGAGACGCTGTCGCTGAAGCATCCGTTCTGTAGCAAACTCTGTGTAAGATCCTCGAACTTACATCCATGCATATGGCTAAATCCACAACAGGGCATGGCTATCAAGTAATGTGGAAGGATCGTACAAACGAAGCGCAACCCTCGGGATTGCTATTGGTTGGGGGAATCTTAACGGGGCTGTGACCTCCAACGTTGTACGTCGTTCGCCTTTATATCTAGGCACGCAGGTCAATTCTGAACAAGCATCATAGTACCGCGCAGTCGATAAGCCGTGGTACAGACTTGGCCACGGTATAGTCCTCGCATATATTGCGATCGGTTGGCTGTCCTCCCTATTGCTTTTGATCTTGCTTCGTAGAGAGAATCAAAAGAGAGAGCTAGGGTATCGTAATGAGATTATAGAAGGGACCCACGATGAGCATGCCCGTGAAGGCAACGGTCGCTTTGAGACTATCGAAGCGGCAAGAAAAGAGAAGGGCGATGAATGGAGCGGGTTTAGATACTCATTGTAGTATTGCACTCACACGAGCAAACCTAGCATATTGATTTGGGAGATATTTCGTTTACCTTCAGGTATGAAACAAGAGAAGGGAATGTCAGAGTGGCCGTTCAATGGGAAGTACGTTCAGGATACAATAAAAGCAACGATCCAAAAGATCTGACAACAGTGGGATTCGAACCCACGCAGGTTTCCCTATGCGAAAGTGAACCGGTAAACCGGTAAGCTTACGTAACGCTTGAGTCGCACGCCTTGGACCGCTCGGCCATGTTGCCATAGCAGTTCTAGGAAAGGTGTAGCATTTGATGTCGTTAAACGAGCCCTCATGAAAGGATACGGGATGGGGAGCAGGAGCAGGTTGCCACGAACTGTAGGATGTCGTTTAGAAATGTTGTGGCAAAGTGTGTGAATCTAGAACGACTCGTATACCGATTGGTACTTCCCGCTCGTGATCGACACCACCTTGCCCAGGGGGGGTGGACAAGTGGTAAGTGGACGAGCGGCAGGTTACAACCGCTCAGTCATGTTGCCCTAGCAAGGAAGGAGTTGTTTAGTATCTCCTAGCGCATGTCTTTGTTTTAAACGTCACGTCAAAGGCAGTTGCCCCTGCCAGACAGACGTTGACGAGCAAATGTGATCAACGTTTTTGAACGAGATTACTGTACAGATCAAATCACATATGGCGGCAAGACGAACATCAACAAGGGAAAAAAAATCGGTCATCCATTCGCCACCGGCCTCACATTTTTCCACGGGCCACCTCCACGATAGCCTTGTGCTCGGCAGATCTAGGTTCGATATCGCACTTGAATGGCAACGGATAGCTGTGGACAGTTGAATCGTGGAAGCACGTCAATACGAACGACTCACGATAAGAACTCAATGTTATACTCTCCACTAGGAGTGATCTCGTTCCCCTCTGCATCCTTTGCTTTGGTAAGGTTAAACACGGCTAAAACAGATGCAACAGTAATCCATATGCTGTCGTACGCCATGTATCGACCAGGGCATATCCGGCGGCCGTAGCCAAAGGCGGCTGTCGCTGGATCGCGCACGTTTGGGTTGATCTTCCCGTCCTTCATGAAGCGATCTGGGTTGAACACCTCAGGCTCCTGATAGGCCGCGCCGTCATGCAATATTGCCCTAGCAGTGACAACATGAGACCCAAGTCGAGCAGTGACGACGACAAAGAAGGTGTACTGGACCACGCACCAGCTGTTTCCTACAACTATAGAACCCTTTGGAATGTAATACCCCTTGTAGACGTCATCCGAAGAAGTTTGGTGCGGCACCGCTATGTCCTGACATTAGAAAACTGTGGAGCACTGATATCAAGAATCTTGTAGCACGCTGACTAACCGAGAGGAGCGACGGGTTTCCACCTGAGAACCTCTTTGACTATGGCATGGCAGTATTGGAGGGCGCCGTAGTCAGCGAACGTCGGCAGTCGACCAGCACAATGCAGGTCGATCTCCATCCGTGCCTTCATCTGGACTTCCGGGTGTAGTACCATCGCGAGCATGAAGGACCCGAGGGCTGATACAGTCTGTTGCATTAACGGTCTCGTGAGACCTGAGCGCATTCTCTGTAATCCTAGCACGTAGACTCACCGTGTCTGCGCCGGCTGGAGAAAACCTACCGTCAGACTTTACTTCTGCCAAAACATAGTTTGCTCTCACCGAGATACATGGTCCCCAGCATTCCTTGAGCAACGGACTCCGCATACTCCATGTCTGTGGCATCCTTAACCATGTTCTCTATGAGGGATGTTCCGATGCAGCTCGTCGCTGTTCCTTGTTCCTGAAACGCAATGAGATCAAGTTACGCACGCACAACTCACAGCACAAACTGGCATACCACTCGATGCTTTATGTTACTATACGGCTCATGCAAAGAACTCATTACCCAGTACCTCCACTTCCTCGCCTGCTTCTTGAAGCCCATGCCAGGTACCCATTCGGGGGCATACTTTACTGATAATTGCAAAAACTGAAAATCAGCTCCTTGGCTCGCACCCAGATTGCCACTCACAAAACGGTAGGAAATCAACCAAGTACGACCCAGCATTCGTTGCTGCTGAGATGGATTGCATTGCTTGTTCGGCCATGTGTATGAACGGATCGTCCTGTTCCTGGATCTCTATCCCGTATGCGATCTTAAGAATTTTGCTCCCAGCCATGCTACAAGTTTGACAAACAGAATGTTGATCATCAATATACGACAGAAACCGACCATCACTCTGGGGCGATGATTTGTAGAGGGCTCACTGGCGTATATGATCCATGAAGTTCTCGCGCTGCAGAAGAATCTTCTCAAGGAACAAGACGGTCCCGCTCTCTTCGATTGAACGGAACGTTTTCGTTGCTCCGTGGCCCAAGTACTTGCAGGAGACGCGCCTGTGGTCTCTCCAGAGATCATTGTGCCCCATAAAAGCTGTGCCCCATCCAAAGCCGACTCTATCAGTTGCAGTATTACGACGTAAGTTGCTGTGTTGACGGCGGGATTACTGAGACGTACAGTTCGTTAAGCATCACCATTCGAGGCCTTGAATCGCGACACGTATAATCATTCAACAGTGCCGGAAACAGAACAGTTAGCCTGCGCAACAAGAACGCGCAGTTGCACAGTACCTGTCCGAGTATTTTGACGACCGCTTCTCCATCAGGTCCGCCACCGCCTGTGCCGAATTGAGAATGATGAGGTTGGTCCCCATAACATTCAGTTGAATGATATCTGAATCTAATGGCCAAGCGCATCAGCCACAGGCCAGAACCAAGTGAGACATAAGTCTACAGCGCGACTCACCGTATTTCTTGCTCATAGCAAGGTACGCTTGGGCCGCAGACTCCTTTGGTACGTCCAGAATGTTACCAAGGAGAGGAAGAGCCGGTGGACCAGGAGGGCCTTGCATGCGTCGCGAGTACAATGTGTACAGCAGTGCACACGAGGCTAGTACAGCTGTAACAAGGGCTATCTCGTCAAAGATAGGGTTCAGGTAAAAAGACATTGTGGGGAACGAAGCTGACATCACTTGTTGAGGAGACCTTGCCTTATATACTATGTGGCCATAGATTGACAGCTACCGTGCAATATCGTCCATATACTGTGTAAGGGTTTCCATCGAGCATTTTTTATTTTCTCCTACACGGTCCGACGATCATATGGAAATGGAGAGAGCCGTAGTCTTCGTCCGGCAATAGTATACATGCCATATTGATACCGTTGACATACGTATTCAAGGCGTGCTCGCGGATGGGTGAAACGATGGGACCATGGTGAATGCCTGCAGTACACATAGAGTTCAAATTGATGCGCACGAGTGACGATGCTGCCCTTTCTTGTTAAAAAATATGGGGACCGTGGAACCTGGTGAGCCACCTCTGGTTCGCTAAGGCCACCTGGGCCAGAGCACGTACGACAATGGACGATCATCCCATTTGAGGACATGCACCATTTGCATACTGATGGTTGAGGTACATCCAGCGGAACCGCTTGCGCAATGTGTGACGCGAACGTCATTGCTTAGTGCGGAACCCTCAATTTCTTATCTGATTAGGACGGCCCTGTGGAACGTTTGCCTCTGATATGGAGCTGTGGGAGACAAGAGGAGCAGTATCAGGTAAGCACAATGTTTGAATGAGTTCAGGAACCCCATGCGACGGTGCACGTCGACTACACGTACGTTAGAATGTGACTCACCTGAGGTAATCGCTGATATATCTGGAGCGAATGATACATTCTATCCGTTCCAGAGCTGACAATGTTTACGCATACATTCACGCTTGCATCAAATCTTGCACATCCTCGTGTGCGTCGGAGTCTTCAACCTCCTGCAAAAGGCGTCCCTATGATATGAGCCTTTGCCGCCCGGCGCCCGGCAGATGTCAGAAGTCTCATACTGCTCTGTAGGTGTAGGTGTAAGCACAATTTATGGGCAATAACGTGTGACGTCTCCTACGAGCAGGCATGTCGGCCTCATCAGACTCCTTCGAAACCCCTTCGACTACCCGTTCGCCTCTCGACATGTACATTGTGCCTCTCGAGCAGCACGCCGTTTTTGCGCACTCACTACCGGCTGGATGTACACGAGGACACTCTTCAGCGTCCGAGCCATCATGCGCAAGCCTGCGAGGTCAAAGCTGCCAGAACCAGAGAAAGCGAACAGGTGTCGGACTATTGAAACTGCTCGAGGAGCAGACCGCGTGCCGTATTGAACGCCAGCTGCTGTATACTGCGCCTGGTTTCAGCAAGTTTCTGTACGTGTCCTGGGGGTCTACTATCGCTGAGTCAGCGGCGGCGGTTTAATCGGAGAGATTGATATCTCCCGCGGACTTACAGTACACAACAAAAAGCCCCGTCATCGGTCCTATTCAGTTGGATAATTCGCGCCATATCGTCTGAATTATATAGGTTGACTAAGCTGAGATGCCGCGCGAGCAATGAAGAAACGGCTTACCACACCCTGCGGAACCTGCTACGTAACTTGAGGAGTTGGAGCTCCCCTCTCAGGCTGCGCGGCGACAGGTCCGACGACACCGAGAGGCACCCTTCCTTCTCGTGTGCACGTCAAGGTAATCCCTTAAGCATCCGTCATAGGCGTACGGCATGCGGCTCCTTGACTGATGTTCAGCAAGTCAGGTGTTGTTCTAACGGTGCGCGGTATCGGAATAGTGCACCCCAAACGTGCGTCGCCTAGGTCTCGTCAGCCAAACATACCCCTGTCAGGATGAAGCGGAAACTGGATATGGGTGTCAGTGCCTGATATCAGTAACCCGATGGTTACCCTGAGCTGCAGTGGGGTTTAGCACAAGGCTGGCAAGAACAGTACAACGAGATGGCAAACCTCACCCCCACGTCCAAACGACACCCTCCGTTCTGCCTTGGCGAGACCTCTGAGGTCCGCTAACAAGCATTGAAGGAGGGCCAAAAGAAGCGGTAAGTCGTCCAGAAGCAGTATGATGAACGTGAACCAGAGGCTTTATACGACGTCAAGGGCGTCATACAGAGCGACTTGATCCAAGTAGGGGTTTTATTGCAAGACAAAAAATGAACAAGTGGGAAAACGCTCGACATCTGGTCGTCACCAGCTTCACATTTTCCCACGGGTTGCCTCCACTAGAGCCTTGTGCTCTGCAGACCGCGGTTGAATATCACACTTGAACGGCAATGGATAACTGTGCGTAATCGAGTAAGGCGCCATGTCACCCAAACATGAAACTGCTTACGACAAGAATCCCATGTTATACTCTCCACTAGGTGTGATTTCATTCCCCTT